TCATGTTTCTCAACTCTTCTGTTTTTTATCTGTGTCTGCTCTAGATTTATTAATCATGTCTTGCACTGTAGGCACAATCTCTGCTGTTTTCTGAGAAATTATTTCTGATTTCATTTTTTTCCAGATCCTCTTCATTGCCAGTCCAGGGAGTCCAGGTGGTTGAGTATCACATTGTTCCATTCATTTCCCTTTGGGATTGCCTTAGGTGATCTGGAAGTCTGATTTTTAGGCTTATTTCTGTATCTTCTCATTTCAGCAGATGTAGCCTGCTGTGCCTTTGTTAAGGCAAGTTTTTGCTCACCCACTGAGCTCACCCTCTTTTTGCTCACCCTCTACTGCTCAGCAGTACACCAATTCCTGGGTTCAGAATGGTGGCCTTCTAGATCCCTGAGCTCACCTGTTGTCTGGGTGGGCTTCTGGCTGGGGCCTGTGCACACTTGGGATGGTATCTAGGTGTGCCTCTGGCAAGGGTCTCCACACACTTACTGATAGTATCAGGGTGAGCCTATGGCTGTTGCTTGTGTGCCTCTGCAGGTTTTTCTAGGTTGGTCCTTGGCGTTGACCTGTGTGTCCAAGTCCCTGGGGTCTGGGCAGGGCCCTGGGTGGGATCTGCCTGCAACTGTGCCACTCTGGTCCACACTGCTACTCCCCGGGACCTGCATGTAGTTCTGGATAGTATGGATTGGTCCTCTGGGTGATGATTGTGCACCTGCACACTCTTTTCTGGGTAGGCCTTTGGTTTGGGCCTGTGTGCCTGAGCCTGTGGGATTGGGACGGGGCCCTGGCTGGGATCTGCCTGCAGCAGCGCAGCTTTGTTCCACACCACTGCTCACTGGAATCTGCACACACTTCTACTATATATACTGTTTTTAAAGAATATATGTAACAAAACTTTCTTTAAAATTTCTTTTATTATAAATTTTCAAAAGGGAGGAAAAGACAGGCCAAAGAATGGACAGCCAGAGATTGGTTTCGTTCTGAACTGGAGATACATAAATTTAGCAAGCTTTGTTTTGTAAATAATTTTAACTGTAAGAATGAATGGCATTCCTTAGGTAGGGATATAGAAAAATAGCTGTAAGCACAAACCCTCTAGAGTAGATTTTAAGATACAGTAGAGGAGTTTGAAAGACTCATAGGGCTGGGGATTTAGCTCACTGGTTCCACCGCCTGCCTTGCAAGCACAAGGACCTGAGTTCAATCCCTGATGTCATAAAAAAAGCCTCTCATAAATAATTTTCAAAGTAGGAAGGATGATGTCATAAAATATGTGGAAAGCATGAGCTTTGATGAAGGATATATATCCATCAGTTAATGGTTCAGCAGAGGTCAAAGGCAGTTAAAGACTAATGTGTGTATGGGTGTGTGGATGTGGTTTATTTTATTTATTTATTTATTTTTTTGGTATTGGGGATTGAACTCAGGATTTTGCGCTTGCAAAGGCAGGCTGTGGAACCACTGAGCTAAATCCCCAGCCGAAAGACTTATAATAATTTGAAGTCATAGTATGTATAAGCTAAGTCAAGTGGAGAGCCTTGACAAGAGCTGTCCTTAGTGGTAACAAGTCACTCCTCTATTCAGGGGAGGTCTTTTAAGGAGCCCGCAAATGGTAACAAGTGCTTCTAGACAGTTTTCTCTTCCACTCCTGCCTAACACTAGAGTGTAGTGCCAGAAATAGCTACCCAAACACAAGAAAATAAGATCCAGAATATTAATATTCAATATGTCAGGATTTCAATTGAAAAGTCACTTTTCTGACCAAGAATCAGAGATCTCAAATTGAAAGGCAGTAGACACCAACACCTAGGAGACAACAGATACCCATTTTGTCTGACAAAATTTTGAAGCATTCATCATAAAAGCTATAACCACTTGTGAAGCCAGTGAAAGCATGAAAAAATAAAAAGAAGAAACAATGGCAATTTTACAGCTAAAAATACAAAAGCTGAAATAATAACTTAAGTACATAAGGTCAGCACCAGCATGAGGAGACAAAGGAAAAGATGAGTGACCTGCCTACAAAAAACTCACTGCATATATAGTGATGTGTGTAGGCAGGAAGGGACAGGATGGAGAAAGAGTATACAATACTTTAAAAAAATGCAAGATCACAAGTACAAGGGCATGAGTTTTCTCCCCAGAAAGATTTCCATATTAGTATTTGATAAACATCTAAATAAAGTACCAAGAAAAGAGAGGGATATTATATAATGAGAAAGGAGTGATACAGAAAGAAACATAGCAATCCTATATTTCTATATGCCATACAGTAGAGCTATAAATATGTGAAACAAACTGATAGATGTAGAGCATCTACAGACTGATAAATGTAAACCAAAACTGGTAGGCTTGAAAGGGGAAGAAAAGACCAATCCATAGATATATTTGGAGGTTATAGTTAATACTCTTGCCTTAAGAGTTGATATAAGAAAATTAGAGGGCTGGGGATTTAGCCCAGTGGCACTGCACCTGCCTTGCAAACACAGTCCTGAGTTCGATTCCCGGTACCAGGAAAAAAAAAGAAAATTAGAAAATCAGTAGAACAAACAAGAACTCAATATCACCATCAGCCAATAGAAATTACTTTATGTCAGGGACCGGGGATTTAGCTCAGTGGTTCCACTGCCTGCCTTGCAAGCACAAGGTCCCAAGTTCGATCCCCAGTATCCCCAAAAAAAGATTCTCTGAATTTACTTCTTATCAGGAAGTCATATTCCTATTCAGGTTAACTGTACTGACTTTTTAACAGCATAGTTTTTCCTTTTAAAGATTTAATGGTAATGGAGTATACTTAAGTGAAATGAAATGTATCGCGTGCTTTCCAACAAAAGAAACTTCCCTGGATTTACATGCCTAGCTTTGTAAGATCCCTTGAAAACTAACCTACATTCAAAGACAAATTCAAAGAAAGCTTTTTGTCTCCTATTTAGTAAATCAAAAGATGATATTTGGTGTTGGGGCTGTAGCTCAGTGGTAGAGCATTTTCCAATCATGTGTGAGGCCCTGGGTTCATCCCCAGCACACCACACACACACAAAACTGTATTTCACATAAATGACCAACAAGATTATGAAAAGATGCCCATTGTAACTAATCATCAGAGAAATGCAAACCATAACCACAATGTGATATAACTGCATGCCATAAGAATGGCTATTATCAAATAAAGAAAAAGGATAAGTAGGGGCAGGAATGAATAAATTTGATCATGGTGGATAGAATTGTGAAATGATGCAAACACTGTAGAAAAATAATAATGGCGCTTCCTCAGAAAATTAAAATAGAACTGCCGCATGATCCAGCAATCTCACTGTTACGTAAATATCCAAAAGAAGGGAAAGTAGGGTCTTGTAAACATATTTACATACCCATATTCATAGCAGCAGTGTTCACCATAGCTAAGACATAGAAATCAGTCTGCTGTCCATTGATGTATAAATAAGCAAATTATGGCACTGTATATACATTTAGTAGAATATTCTTATAAGGGAAGGAAATCCTATCATATGCTGCAACAACATAGATAGAAACCTTGAGGTCCCTGTGCTACGTGACATAAGTTAGCTTTGTATGTTGTTTGATTTCGCAGAGATGAGATTAGTCACATTCACAGAAACAAACAGGAATTGTTGCCAGAGAGTGGGATACAAGAGAAGGGAATCTATGGATGTAGCTTCACGTTTATAAAATGAAAAGTTCTGGAAACCTTCTATACAGCTGTAACATGTTTAGGGTGATAAATTGATTGGTGTTATTATAATGTTAAAAAGTGTTATCTCAGTCCAGATGTATACTGTTCTACCTTGAACGCTAAGTACCAAAAAGCCCATAGTGAACACTTAGAACGACATTGCTGTTGGAAGGAGCACTCCGTGAAGGAACGCTCTTTTAATGACTGAGAAGCGTTATTGAAATTGCCAAACAGGATTATGAATTTGTGTTTCTCCTCTCCAATCTATATAAGTTTGCGAAGCCAATTCATTTTGAAGCTTGTTAGGTATATACATCTTCTCGGAGAATTTACCCCTCTATAATTACATAATTTCTCTCTTAATCTTTGGTTATCGTCCTGGTCTCTTAGTCTATATTTTGTTCAGTCTTTATATTTACTTGTTTGTTTTTGAAAGTGTATACCTGAAGTTGAAGTCTTGCATTTTGCTTGTTGTAGTTTTGTCTATTTCATACTGAAACAGTCTGTACTTTTTACCTTACACTAGAAATTTTATTGCTTGCTTATACTCATTTTGTTTCAGGGAGCCACTCATATTTTAAAATTATAAAGCAAATTATAAAACAAATAATAGAAAAGGTGTGAGTTTATATGATATATAGTGAGTTTTTTTAAATCACATGGCTTTAACTTCTTTAAAATCTGATTTTGATAAAAATTTAATTACCACTGTACTTATTCAATTCACTTTTTTTTTTTTTTTGGTACTGGGGATTGAACTCGGATCCTTGTGCTTGCAAGGCAGGCGGTAGAACCACAGAGCTAAATCCCTTGCCCTCAATTCACTTTTATGAGTAGCCATTGTAGTTTGAGCCAGCAAAAATAGTGTGGTTCCTCTTTTTTATAGTGTAATCCCTCAATTTAAAGCTAGCTCAGTACATACTCCGTTCTTAGTGTATTATTGTAGAAATCAACAATTTAGGCTGGGTGTGGGGGTGCACACTGGTAATCCCATCACTCGAGCCTGAGGCAGGAGGATCTCTGAGTTTGAGGCCAGCCTGGTAGGCTAGCTCCATAGTGAGTTGAAGGCCAACCTGAGCTGTACAACGAGACCATCTCAAACAAATGGAAAGAAAATCAATTCATTCAATGGCCTGGGCTGAACGTAATCTGGCAATTATCATTGTTAAAAATATGAAGTAAATTTGTCAACAACTTCTTTGGTTTCTGAGGGATAGAAATTGATGGTAGTCAAATATTTCATCATTAGTTTTTAACATAAACTGGACTGTTACAACCCTTATATTACAATTATGTTTTCTTAAAATAGATATTTGGTGCTTGAAAAACTGAAGAAAGAAGAAGCTGACCGAATTCATATATTCAGTTCTTTTTTCTACAAACGCCTTAATCAGAGAGAGAGGAGAAATCATGAAACAACTAATCTGTCGTAAGTAAGACCCAGAAAAATAATAGATGTAGTAAACCACTGAAGATTAATTTAGAAAAAAAAAAAATAAGTTAACAGTAACCCTTCAGTATCTGTGGGTGATGCGTCCCATGGCTCCTCTGCTTCTCATTCAGATACCCGAATTTGTAGATGCTCAGTGTGTGTGGGTACAAGATGGTATAACCTATGCAGATCCTCTTTATACCTTAAATCATCTGTAGATTACACAGAATACAACATAAATGTCATTAAATAGTTGTTACATTGTGTTCTCTAAGAGTAATAACAAAGAAAATAATCGGTACATGTTCTCTACAGATGGCAATTTTTTTCTGCAGATATTTCTCTCGTCAGTTGAATTCATGGATTTATTAATTGACTTCAAGAAGGGCCAACAGTATTTGAAAGAAAACACTGATCTTTTTTATTAACTTGCTTCTATCTTAAATTCTAAAAGCCAGTAAGGGAATATACTGAATTAATCAGATTAATTTTCATTCTTTACAAATTCATGTTCAACCACCTTAAAATAATCTTCAGTAGCTTTAAGATAATATAAGAGATCATGACTTCATTTAGTTCTGAATGCTTTTTTGCTAAAAGTAGAATTCATAATATTCTAATATCTCCAGAGCACCTGGAATTTATAAATGGTAGAGGCTTAATATTTAGAATAGAACACTGGGGTTGGGGATTTAGCTCAGTGATGCTGCCGCCTGCCTTGCAAGCACAAGGGCCTGAGTTCGATCCCCAGTACCAAAAAAAAGAATAGAACACTGTTTTCCAATAGTGACTTTTTTTTTTTTTTTTTTTTTAGAAATTACTTAGAGGAACCTGTGAATCTGTACATTTTAAAAGCTGTTTTCTTCTCAGACAAGTTAAGGAAATAATGTGCTGCATGTCACAATGCCTCTCCATACAGTAATAGAATCTAACTAACACTTGCTGGTGATTGATCAAAAGATGCACAATAGTTGGAACTTTTTCTTCTGACTGCCATTAAATATCTTAAATTGATGGTTGCTGTGTGTGATATAAATAATATTTTCTACTATTTCAGCAGTTTCTAATTTTGCATCTTTGCGTTGTTGATAGTCATTGATTTTTGACCGGTGTTTATAATCTACCTTGCTTCTCTTACCATCAGACAATGTTTTCTTTTCCTGGGCTCTTCTTAGTTAGAATAAGTCTTGGTCTGATAAACCTTTCAGTATATTGCTAGTACCAATTCTGCATTAATATTAAAAAAAAAAATTATAGAGAAGTCCAGGCAAGAAAAACCCTGGGACCCATAGAATGTAGAAAGAATTAAATATCTCTCCTCCAAATTCAATAATGGGCAAGTTCTGTGCCTTCCTAGTTTCATCCAAGATGCGGTATTCTCTTTTTCAATCTTGTTAAACCATCTTGTACAACCATTTGAGCATTTGTATTGGAATCTTTATAATTTATAAGTCACTGCATGTAAGCTAAAACAAAGATTTTCAAAAGCTTATAATTTATCTCTTTCTTAACAGAATACAACAAAAACGACATGGGAGAGTAAAAACATGGACTCGGCATGTAGATATTTTTGAAAAGGATTTTATTTTTGTACCCCTTAATGAAGCGTGAGTAAGAATGTAAATGTGATAGTTTTTTTAAAATGTGTTTATGAGGTGAAACATTCACTTTAAAATACCTTGTTGAAATTTTTATATATAGTGGATATGACTTTTATGAAAATGAATGTAGTTTCCTATAATAAACCATCTAAGGTTCTTTGCAAACAAAAAACCAGATCCCTTTCTAATTACAGTTTTGTTAAGTTGGTGCAGAATAAAGTCATTCCTGGAAATAGGCACTGGCACACGCCCATAATCCCAGCTATTCAGAAGGCTGAGACAGATTGCAAGTTCAAGGCCAGCCTAGTCAATTTAATAAGATGCCATCTCAGTATGAAAGAGCTGAGAGTGTAGCAAGGCATTTCCCTCATTCAGTCCCGTGTGTGTGCTTGATTTTTTGAGACATGATCTCACTATGTAGCACAGGCTGGCCTTGAATTTGTGGTGATCCTCCTGCCTCAGCCTCGTGGGTGCTGGGATTATAGGCATGCACCCCCATGCCCAGCTGAGTATTTAGTTTAAAACATACTTTTTGCCTTTAACCAAAAAGGAGAAATGTGCTTGGATTTGTGCTATTTGCTAAAATTGAAAGTTGTGCTGACTATTTGAACGCCATTTTCTAAGTAAATGGAGATGCTTCAATATTTTTTATTACTCCCAGGACTATAAATAATGTCCTGGAATCTTTTTGAGTTTTATTTTTTGTTTCATTTTCCTGTTCCCTCCAACCAAAGACCACTGAGAATACACCTGTAGTTTGACAACCTGAGTTTATTTCATCAAGGGACACCATACTTTATGGGCAACATTGGAGTCTCAGAAAAGTGATTTAGGGGAGTCTGTGGCAGTAATGATCTGCTTGGGTAAAGAAGTAGCATTCAGCCAATGAAGCAGGATGATCACTGGTTCAAACCTAGCCTGAAAAACTTATCAAGACCCTGTTTTAAAATAAAAAAGAGCTGGGGGTCTGGGGATTTCACTCAGTGGTTCCACCGCCTGCCTTACAAGCACAAAGACCCAAGTTCGATCCCTGGTACCAAAAAAAAGCTGGGATGTAATTCATTGCAAAGGCCCTGAGTTCAGTCCCTGTTGCTGCCCTCCTTCCCCCAAAAAATATCATTCATTTGTTCAGCAAAACAGGGAGATATTTGGTATTTTGTGGGTGGCATCGTGGCTTAATGTCCTTTGTTTAGATAAATTACAAAATGGATTTACTTGTCTTGTTTTTAATCATGATTGTATTAATTTTGAGGTTAATATTCTATGAGATGTCTGCCAGGCAACTTTCTGAATGTGCTCTCCCGCCCCTATGAAACAAATGCACACTGTACTATAGTCAAACGCTTACTTAAAAAAGCGTTTTAGGGCTGGGGATTTAGCTCAGTGGTGCTATCGCCTGCCTTGCAAGCTCAAGGTCCTGAGTTTGATCTCTGGTACCAAAAAAAAAAAAAGGCTGTTTTAGTGCCATATCCTTATAGTCCCAGCTGCTGGCAAAGATAAGACAGGAGGAAGTCCAGAGCCCAGGATTCTGAGGCCATCTTGGTCATCAGTATACAGAAATTTTGTCCAAAAGAAAAAAAAATTATATTTATGGTCATGAGGGTATATAGCACAGTAATAGAGCATTTATTATAATGCTCAAGGCCTTGGGTTCCATCCCTAGCACTGCAAAAAATAAATAAAAATTGTGGAACCTGTGTTCTTCAGTTAGTCAAAGATAGATAACCTAGGGTCAAAACATTAGTAATACCTATAAAATTTAATTTCTAAGTCATAGAATTTAAAGCTGATGTTTAATTTCTTCATCCTCCCCAAAATAAGGTTTCTTGATATAGAAAGCTGTTTTGGGAGGACAGAATTATAGAAATTCGAAACAGAAGGCTAAGTTGAGGCGCACACACATTAGGGATAGAGGCACATGCCTCTTAGTCACCGTGCATGTGGGTGGAAGCAGCCAGTGGTGCTCGTTTTCTTGGTGGGAGGCCAGGAAGATCAGTAATGGGAGTCCGGGACAAGATCTGCCATGGGCAAGTTAGCCAGTAAGTCAGTCATGAGGTCTTGGTTTGCTTTTTAAAAAGGTAAAGCCAAAAATATTTATATTCACAAATTTTATTGGATAGGCTTCCGTGTATTTGTTTCCTATTTTTTATTTTCTGGGGATGCTGATTTTTTATTTTTTGGGTATGGCTTTGGGTTTGTTTTTGGTTTTTTTTTTTTGAGACAGAGTCTCACTATGTAGTTGACACTGATCTGGAACTCTTTGTGGCCCAGGATGGTCTTGAACTCACAGAGATTGAGGATGCTGATTTTTAATTTATATTTATAAACTGTTTATGAGAAACTATCACAGTAATTGCCAAGGAGCACTTATTTGATACTTGGATATAATCCATCATAAGTGATATTGCCTACGTTAGCATCTTCTACTATGGGTGCTTTAGTTAATGTAGCTGATATTAAAACAGTTCATAAAAGCAAAACTCATTCTTTGATATTGGAAGTGAGCATTTGATTCAGCTTTCCCCTCTCAACGAGGAAATAAAATAAAATAGTATTTTTCCTGGTTTTTTAAGTTGAGGGAGGGAAAAATTTATAGCTTATACATACGGACATTAAGAAATGTTAAAGCTGGTTGTTTTGGGGCATGCCTGTAATCCCAGCACTCTAGGAGGCTGTAGTAGGAGGATCATAAGTTCCAGCTCAGCCTGGAAAGTTTAGCAAGCCCCTGTTTTAAAATTTAAAATTTAAAAAGAGGGATGGGGAATATAGTTCAGTGCCAAGACCCTAGGTTCAATCCCCAGTGCTGCCCACCCCCAAAGAGAGAAATTTTAAAAACACACTGAGGCAGCTGCAAGTTGAGAATCACTGTATTACAATATTTGTCAGTTTTTAAAAGTTTATCCACATATCTAAAATTTGACATGTGACTTAATGAGCTGTCTCTCAAAGTCGAAATGAAGAAATTGGTGTGTTCTTTCTACTACCCCAACTTGACCTAAGTCCATTGTATACTGAGAATTAATAATTAAGAACAAGAAAAAAGAATCATCCACCTGCCCTTACAATACTGAGGATAAAATCTGTCTTCATGACCTTTATATTCCGTGCTCAGATAAAGAGATAGTTCTATTTGTTAGTACTACAGTAGCTTGCAGGTATTCTAACACTTTGCAGAAATGAGAATGTGGAATAACTTGTATCAGTCAATGTTTTTTTTTTCAGTAGTTTTTTGTTGAATCCCTACCACATGACAAATACTGTGCTGACTAATAAACTGATGTTGTTGTATCCTGCATGTAACTCTGCCTCCTAAATAATAGGTTCTTAAAACATTTTATTAGTTAATAAATATTAGCTAAGACTGTGCAGCTTCTTACTGTGGCCCATACTTTATGTTGGAAGCTATTTATGTTTGGTATGTTTTTAAAACAATGTCTTTCAAATTTTTTTTTTAAATTTACAGTGAGTAAAGACAGAAGGTACAGATATATGAAGTTATAAATTAAGACATTAGTTACAAAGGTATCAAAAAGAATGGTAGAAAAATAAAGGAGGTGACTGATATTTATAAAAATTATCAGGGAGGCCAGGGATTTGGCTCAGTGGTTTCATGGCCTGCCTTGCAAGCACAAGGACCAAACTCAATCCTCGGTACTCCCCCCAAAAAAAAATTATCAGGGAAAACATTTAAGTAACATTAAAGGCATAAAAGGCAGTTTGGCATTTCCAAGAGCCAGAGATAGGGGATTTGTAATGAACAAGTATGAGAACTCAAGATAAGAAAAGCCTTGATAAGAAGGAGGAAGTGAGTCATTGTAACTTGAGTAAAAAGCAAACATGAGAGAGGCTTGAGACAAATGAATAGAGACCAGACTATTTAGAACTGGTAGAACCCAATCAGTAATTCTAAGAGAAATAGGAAGTCATTCTGTTTCTATATTTTTTTCTAATATAATATTTGATAATAGGGCTGGGGATTTAGCTCAGTGGTTCCGCCACCTGCCTGGCAAGCGCAAGGATGAGTTCGATCCCCGGTACCAAAACAACAACAAAAATTTGATAACATAAAATCTACTATATTAATGCAATTTGGTAATTTGTATATACTTTGAGTTTCTCCCCTGTCCTAACCTCCCATCTATTTTTCACAAGTTTAAAACTTATGTGGATTTATTTCTTGCCTTTTGAAAACTGCTTTTTTTTTGTACCAGGGGTCGAACTTGGGACTTTGCACTTGTAAGGCAGGCGGCAGCACCTCTGAGCTAAATCCTCAGCCCGAAAACTGCTTTTTTAAAATGTCATACATGAGCTGGGCATGGTGGTACACATGCCTGTAATCCCAGCACTTGAGAGGCTGAAGCAAGAGGATTGCTGTGAGTTGAAGGCTAGCCTAAACTACACAGCAAGACCCTGTCTCAGGGAGAAAAAAGTAATATGTAGGATAAATTATTTTGCTTATACCATCTACTATTAGTTTTCCAAGATTCATCCTTACCTTTTTTTTTTTTGGGTCATTTAAATTGTGACTATATTACAATTAAGTTTCATGGTAATTCAGTATAATAGCTTTATATTACTTGATAGCAAATTGTTACCAACTTAGTTGTTTAAACAATGCCACATCATTTCCTGTAGTAGATCAGAAATCTAGGAAGAGTATGATTGGATTATCTGCTCAGGATTCAACAATACTGAAATGCATGTGTTGGCTAGCTGCATTTTCATTTGGAGGAGTCCTCTTTCAGGCTTATTCAGGTTGTTAGCAGAATTCATTCCTTGTAATTGTAGGATTTAGGGCCCCATGTTTTGGTAGTTGTCTGTTTCAACTGGCCACTCAGATACTAGCCATATGGCTCTATTACAGTTTGCCTCTTCTGTTACTAGTTTGCCTCTTCATGTCAGCCAGCAGGTCTCTGTCCCCACTTAAAATCAGTTTCTTTCTCCCTCCCTTTTTCCCTGGGACACACACACACACACCCCCGGTGCTGAACCCATGCCCTATCACTGAGCCACATACCTAGCCCATTCTTTTTTTTCACATTTTTGTACTTTTGCAGTATGCAGTAAAACACATTGATCATGGGGGAATTGGTATAAATACATATTCTACCTTGAATCTTTTTCTACTTTCCTTCCCCTCCCTCCTGTCTTCACACCTCCAGATGCTCTTCCCATCCTTCAGAGAATAACTCTTGGATTCATTGATCCTTTCTAGTTTTTCTTAGTCTCGGTTTAATTGATTGCCACTGTAATCTTTATTATAATTTCTATCCTTTGATTAGTTGCAGGTTAAGTCAGTTTTTTCCTCTAAGACCTTGAGATGCATCGTTTCATTATTTATTTAAGATTGCTCTGTTCTTTTTTATGTTTGCATTTACAACTGTAGCTTTCCCTTTTAGAACAGCTTTCATTGTGTCCTATAGGGTTATTTTTGTGTGGGTTTTTTTTTTTTTTTTTTTTTTTTTTTTTTTTTTT